TGTCTTCGTCGGGGCAGGAAAAGTTCCTCTGCATTTGAACACTGCCCAGCAAAATTGGTGCAGATGTAACACAGATGTAATGCAAATCAGCAGCAGCAGAATGAAACCATAATTGTACCAGGAAAAAATAGTAAAACAGTAGATGGGGCTGCCTGGGTTGAACTTCTACATTGAATTTAGCAAGTGTTGTATGCAAAGTTACAGAAGCAAAAATGCATTTCTAGATGTCTTTGAGAGAGACAGAGCCTAGCACAGCACAAATAATTCCAACAGGACTCAGGCTAATTTTTCCACTAGAGTAACAGTGAGAGGATACAGCCGCAAATACAGGTGCCTTATAGTTAACCTCACCTAGTGGCAGAGTGTAACCAACTCTTTCTGACTAGAAACCTCAAGATGTTTCTTCTCTTCTTGAATACATTTCCATAAGAATGTCCTCACCCCCACACCTCCAAGTTGCCAGGGAGTGTGCTTGGGCAGCCCTTGCTAAGAGAAATTATATCAAACACATTGCAATATCAATGCATACAGTACCTTTTTTTTTTTTTTTTGTTAAATCTTCCTGATTTACATGTATCTGTCATACACTGGCTGACAAGGCCATAATTCACCTAACCAAGAATTCACTTCTAGGCTTGTGCTAACCTTACAAAATTTGATTCTCGATCCACTTCTCAAGTAGCCAACACTATGGACTTTTGTGAAGTATTATTCCATCCTTCTATACCCTAAGGCCACCAAGCTTGTCACTCTTGCTCCCACTCTAGGAAGTATCTTGATATGTGAGCATCGTTTACTGCTTTACTGGACATCAAACTCCACATAAAATTGCTGTGCTGAACTCAGAGCTAAAAGGTTAAATATTCAGTCCCTAAGCGAGACAGTACACTATAGAAGTGAGACACAAGGAGATGCCTTGTGTATCTGCAAAGCAGAAGGGAAGAACCCGCTTAGACACAGCTGCTGTCTAACAACCATGTTTTATGCGGAACACTTGGGGGCTACTCTATTTTTATAACTTTCATCCATAAAATAAGAAGCTAAAGCTTCTGGAAAGAGAATACAATTACCCTACAATGATATAACAGTCAGAATAAACTCAACACAATCTGTAAGCAAAATAAAAAGCTTCCAAGCTTTTTTTCAATTGGCAGTAGATAATATTTAATAACTGCCCTATTGTCAACCTTCAGAAATGATCTCTGAAGAGCTATATGCAGGTTGGCAACCAGGCATAGCGCCTAACTAGTTTTTGCATCTAGTTGTACAGAAGTAGAGACATATGGAAATGAACAGCCTGGCAGAACAAGTGAACTCTGAAGCAATGACTTCAATAAATAAATGCCTGCACATTGGCAGATGGAGAAAAGCGCAGTAGGGAGGAACTGTATTGCAGCAGCAACTTGATTTTAAACTGTTCGTAAAAATCAGCCTGAACTTCAGAATCGAGGCGTTTCCAGTTCCTTCAGTCCTCTTCTTGCTGGGGAAAATTCTCACCATAAAAAGAGGGAAGGTGAGGCTAAAAAGATGTATCTAACTAAAGATACCAGAAGCTGCTTCAAGGAGCAGAGAATAGGACTGGGAGGTCTCTGATCATTTTTGCCTTTTATTACATTGCTAATCATGTTTTCAGTAGCTTTCAGAAAGACACAACCAATTATTCCCAAAAGTCTAGAAAAGCAAGATGTGGAGAGACATTCTCAAGCTATAGGGCAGAGCCTGAAACGTGAGCACAGTGGATACAGGTACGTGGGATACACAGACCTTTCCCGCAGTGAATGGAAACTCGTGCTTGATGCAATAGCTACCTTCTGCACTCATTCCTCTGGAGATGGTCTATTCGTAGGCAAATTGAATCTTTCCTATTTGCAGGCTACAGACTGATTCCTAGTCACTGCTAAATGTGACAGATGAGTGGAAAACAAGTATTACTACTGCCGTGCTGCTAGCAGAGGACGAGCACATTTATTCCACATTTTGGAATAAGGGGACTCCTTGTCTGGTGATCTCAAAGTTCTGAAACATTTTCCTGTGTAGGTCCTCTAACACCAATTGACGTTACAGTATAAGAGATAGCAAA